AAAAGAGATCACTACATTATGGAATTCAACCAGGCCACAAAATCAAGCATATGACACATTACCGAGTATAAAAAAAAGGGTCTTCCAAGTCATCAACTGGGTTGCCCTATTACTACGTCGACCAACGAATCGCACACTGAACCCTGTATGTTCCGCCAGACAACTTAGGACCTCGTGGAAAATGGCACCAGCACGGCTATCCCTGTCTTGAGATTGGTTGAGCATATCAATAACCACTTTGTCATCCCCTTTGAATCTTACCAACGAAAACCCCCTTTGGAGGCACCAAAGGGTCGCTTCTCGGAGGACCAAGAGCTCCACAAGCATGAGATCATCAATACTAGTGAAATTAACTCCATTATCCAAAATGACCTCCCCATCCCGATCCAGGAGGACCATCCCCCAGCTGAATGGGACCCTTGTCTCGTCGCCCCATCTCACATGCATAGCACAGAGCCCGGAAAGACAAATTGTGCGCCACCGTCCCTAGTCCGGGGAGGGCGCACCACCCGCTCCACTGGCAATGCATTCAACTCATGAAACTGTTGATGATATTGTCTCATCATAGCTGGGATCCCAAACTGTTTGCCCTAATAGACAACCCAGTTACGACATTTCTGTATCCGCCAAAGCATGGCCACAAATGCCATAACTTTGATGCAGGTTTTGAATAAGAACCAACAATTTTTGAGTAATAGGTGGAAAGCATGTCGAGGGAGTCCTTGGCCAAGATGTTCTAGGCCTGCATGATCCCACAAAGCTATGGCCACCGAGCACACCAGAAAGAGATGTTCCATCGTTTCGGACTCTGCCCAACAAACCGGACACCTGGGATGCATCGGGCATCTTTCTCAATGAGGGCTTCCGTTGTTGGGAGAAATCGGTGCAAGATTTGACATAAAAAGAGCCACAACTTGGGGGGGGGGGGTCAGGGAGCTCCACATGCGGATCTAGCTTTGCCTATCCATCCAGCCAACCGTAGGTTCCACCTACCATGCTCTTTATCTACCAACACCGTCAGGTGATAGGCCGACTTCACAGTGAAAACCCCGTCGCATTGTCATGCTAGATGAGCTTATCCTCAATATTTTGACGGGGTAACGGGATAGCTTTGATAGCTCGACAGGCATCTGGGTGGAACCACTCAGCTAGTTTATCGTCAGACCATCTGCCCTCGCTAGGGCACAACAAGTCTACTACCTTGAGATCACCCCCTTATGGGAGCACCTGAGGATTATAAGTCAGGTTTCCAGGATGCAGGTGTGGGGGTCCAATTGGCGTGCAACACAGACACCGATCGATCATTCCCAATCTGCCACCGTAACTCATGCTCTAGTAACTACTGCCCGTAGAGGATACTCTGCCAACCCCAGGAAGGACGAGATCAATGCAAAATCCGATGAATGTGTGTTCTTAGGATATTCCTTGACCAGCAAGGCATATAGAGTGTTTCATAAAATGACTTTGAAGGTGGAAGAGTTCATGTAATTTTATATTTGATGAATATGCAAATGAGTGTGCAGATGAGATACATGAATATGATTTTGGACTCGGTGGAAACTATGAATAGACAAGGACACCAAAGGAGGGTAGAGCAAGATCCCTTAAAGACCAAGATAAAGCAGTATGTATCACAATCTCACAGAGAGAGCAAGATGAAAGGCAACCGCCTTTACATATTGCCAAACGAAAACCTTCATCTTCAATGATAGGTGGGCTAAATGACAACATGGTTACTGGCTCCATAAATTATATCGTGCATACTGCTTTTGTTTCCTTAGTTGAGCCCAAGAATGTGTTAGATGCCTTGAATGATGAAAATTGGATTGCTCCTATGAATGACGAACTGAGTCGGTTTGAGAGAGCAAATGTTTGAGATTTGTTTCCTAATAAGACCAGGACGTCTCGCGGTAGATGTAGACTTCACCAAAATCGTGAACATCGTAGGTCCCAGGAAGATGAGTATGTCTCGCGGGCAATTGCAAACTTCACGGTCTCGGCGCCTGAAGATTTCAACCAGACTGTGAAGTGCGTAACTGAAACAGTGCGCATTCGGTCGACATCACAGTTTTGTTGCAAAGTTCATAGTCGTGACGGGCAACCGTGAACTCTACACTTATGGCTATGAAAGAGAGGATAAATCATATCTGAAGGGGTTGGCTCTCTCAAGAGAAATTAGGGTTCTTCTTCTACCCTAGAGAGAGAAAGTGACGAGCAAAGAGAGCTTGAAGGAGAATTAGAGCTTCCCATCAACCTAAGAGCCTTGATTTCATCTTCAATAACACCAAAAGCAGCCAATGAGCAATATCTTCTCATCATGATGATTGTCTTCTCCATTTTGGTTGTTTTTCCTCACTCTAGCCATGGATTAGTCCTCCAATTCACTTGGTTGTTGTAGAACTCTAGTTAATTATGTCGTAATTGATTATTTGGGAACCCTACGCCTTGATTTGCCTCTTGATTATACATTGATTTGAGTATTATTCATGAAAATTGAAGGTTCTTGATCCCTTCCCTCAATTTGGGGCTATATGTTATAGGTGAGAGAATATTTCCTTAGGGTTGATTTAGAGCATTGCCAATTCAACACTTAGGGTCTATGAACGAGTGTAATTAGATTCCTTGAAGGATGAAGATCAGCTTCTGGTAATCAATTAGCACTCCTCCAAGCTCCCACCGAGCTCCAATGGTGTTGAAGATCGATTTAGGTCACTTGGGAATTATGGTTTGTCACTTTCTCTCTCTAGGGTTCTGCTCTCTATCTCTCAAATTCGGATCCCTTCCAAAAGTGGCCTTTTTCCCCTCAAAAGGGTGGAGATCGCGATACCCGGCCATAATACCTGGTCGCATATTTCAGGAGGCCGGTCGTGTATTTCAAAACGCAGCGCAGTGGCCACAGGGGAATACCCGATCGAGGTCCAGAATACCCGATCGCGTATTTATGCATTCCGGTCGGGACCCCTTCTGATCTCCTGGCCTCCAAAACACGCTTTACCCGGCCTCCCTTCACGTTTTACCCGGTCGGGTATTTTAGCTCATGACCGGGTATTTCTGCCTGACAGCTCCTCTGGCTCCAGCCTTCCACTTTCCGACCCGAAACACGTTCCCACGCCTCCATATCCACGCAAAGCCCTGAAATATGACATAAACGAACAACGTAGCGTGAAATCGGCCTAAAACACGAGAATCGACTCTCAAACGGTTCAAGAAATGGTGGTCAAAACATGTGCAAATAATGGTCTATCAATATCACTACAATTGTTGGCTTAACATCATAAAATTGGTCGACACGCATTCTTTATAATATTTATATATCTTATTCTAAAATAAATAATTATAATCATCTTAACCTACTGATATGATAAAATGCGATTATGAAACATTCATACACTGACCAACTGTACAACAAATAATAATAATATAATAATTAGCAGTTTAGCACGGTCACGACTAGGGGTAAAAATCAGTACTTATTAGTATCTCGGTATCAAATACCAAATTCCGAATACTTAATAGCGTCATAAAATCAATCTCAATTCCGATCATAAAATATTCAAAATATCAATCCCAAAATATTTTGGTATGATATCAATATTACCGAATATCATATTAATTATCTACACAATTGATAATTAAATAAATACATAATAATTGTTCGAACACCTTCAATCCTGAACATTTTATATGGTGTAGGTCTATAGGTTTAATTCCATAATGGAAAACCTTGGCGATGATCAGTTGAGGTCAGAAAATTTCAATATAAACCAATCAAAGTCCCTATTGAATTAATTCAGTCCAAATCTCAGTTGAATGGATTCATCACAAGTGCCCATTCGAGAGGTCAAGACTAAACAAATAGTCTTGAGTTGCCTAAAGTTAAAGTGGGGACAAAGAGAAGGAATTGGAATTTGGATAGTGATATCACAATTTCTTGCCCTTGGTAATTTTTGATCCGGTGGAGTTATGGTTGAAAAACGACCAATAAAATACACTTTTTTTTGGTGTTATGAAAATAATAATTTAGTGAGCGAGAGATGAGAGCAAGCAACCTAGAAAAATTTGGAAACTAAATTTGGATTGGATGGGGCTCAAAGTGTGAGCAATGACTATAAATTGTAAATTATAATTAATAAGTTATAAATTTTAGGTATTTTACGATATTTGAATATATATCGATTTCATCCTACATAGGGATGGCAAAAATATCCGTAACCGTGGATATCCGCCCGAATCCGACCTAATCGGATAGGGTAAAACCCGAACCCGAAAGACTTTTAGCGGGTATGGGTAAAACCCGAACCCGAATATTGTGGGTAATGGGTGGGCATGGTTTTCTCACTATCCAACCCGAACCCGCCCGATTATACACATGCATATGTATTTTGTCTAAAAATAATCAATATTTTTCTCTAACATATTTTATATTTAGCATATAAATATAATTTTCTTATGGAATTGTGTTGTTTTAATTAATTTTCTTCATTCTAGTGAATTATTGTCGTACTTTTCGTCTTACGTAACGTGAGAATATGTGTATATATTAACATATTGATTGGGGTTATAAAGAAAAACTATTACCCCTGGATAACCGTGGATACCCGAAACCCGAACGGGTATGGGCATGGTTTGGATTTTCTACCCGTTTCTTATGTGGGTATGGGCATGGGTAAAACCCGAACTACTTTGGGTAGGGTAACGGATATGTATTATCCGTCCCCGACCCGACCCATTGCCATCCCTAATCCTACAACCACGAATACCAAATAGCACCCCTAAAATCAATATCAATCCTAATCTTTAACAAATAACTCGGCATTAAGATTTGAGATAACTTTAAAATATACATCCCAAATCCAATTACCAAACCTGACTCGCGCGCTAGCTCAAATGGAGGGCTACAATTTTAACATGGCGGGAAGGCGGCAGAGAGAAGATATCAAATTAGAATTTCCGAAACCAAAAATTTCAGTCTAGGCGGGACGTTTGCTCCCACCGCTTCCCCCACTTCAATTTCCCGCGCTCCGAAATGCCAATTTTTTTACCTCGCCCTTCCCCTATTCCACACCCACCCAGTCAGCCAATTACTTCCCTCTCCCGTCTGATTCACCGGATTAGCTTTCTCTTCCTTTCTGCTCCCATGGACCGTCGATCGACCACCACCGCCAAGCGAATCTTGAAGCGGAAGTTGGAGCAAGAGTTCGCCGCAGAGGATGGAAGAAACCGCAAGGTTATGGTGTCTGAATCCGACAATGCCGTCCCGCAGCAGGATAAGAGGAGCGAGATCGAATCCCAAGTCCGAGTCCTTAACTCCACTTTCTCTTCCAGCGAATCCGATCGCGCCGCCTCCAGGACCGCCGCTCAGTTTCTCTCCCAGCTCGCCAAGAATGGTCAGTACTTGCTTGAATTTCTTTTTGTGTTGGGAACCTAGCCGGGACTGTGCAAATTGACGATTGGATTCTATTTTTTTTCTGGCAGCGGATTTCGTTGAGACGATTGTGGATTGCGGTGCCGTGCCTGCGCTGGTTATGCAACTTCAGCCGCCACCTGATGTGAGTGGAGATGGTGCTTTCGATCCAGTCCAGCTCGAGGTGGAGAAGGCCTGCTCGTTTGCTCTTGCCCTTATTGCAATACAGGTAACCGACCCCAATCTACCATTTGTTCATTCAAGAATGGAACGTTTTGTTTGTTTGATTAGGCATGGTAGCTTGCGATTTGGGAGATTAATCAGCTATGTTTTTGTTTCCCTTAGCGTAATTAGGTTTCTATCAGTGTTTCACTACAATCGCCTGATAATCGTGTAGCGAGTAGAAAAAATCGAAGCTCGTTGCTTTCCCTGTAAAAGATAGAGAAACTAAGCTCTCCAGTCAAGTTCTCGGTTCTCTTTATGTGATGAAGCTATAACTTGAGGCTATCTTTCAGATTTGGAACTGCGGTTAACCTTGTGGTTGGGGGCTATCTTCTACTTGTGCAATCTTTTCCTGTTGATGATTCTAATTTTTTCTATTAAACAGCCTCAGTATCAACAAGTCATTGTGGATGCTGGAGCCTTGCCACTCCTTGTCGCTCTTCTTAAGAGGCACAAGAGTCATATCAACTCTGGAATTGTTCCTCTGGTTATTAGGAAAGCAACTGATGCCATCACAAACCTGGCACATGAGAACAGTAACATCAAAACATTAGTCAGGTATGGTTTCACTGCATTACCTTTAAGAATGACTAAAAAGCTGTTCTTTTCCCTGGTTATGATCCCCTTGAATCCTTCACTTTATCTTCAGGATTGAAGGCGGCATTCCCCCTCTCGTCGAATTGCTTGATTCTGTTGAGCCAAAAGTACAAAGAGCAGCTGCTGGGGCCTTGCGGACTTTGGCGTTCAGAAATGATGGCAATAAAGACGAGGCATGGAAGCTTTAACTGTACAGTTCATTAGTTTTATTGTGTCCTTGTGCTATATTTTCATTTGAAATTCATCTATGCAGATTGTGGAACTCAATGGCTTAGATACTCTTGTATTGATGCTTGAGTCAGAGGATACAAAAGTACATTTTGAAGCAGTAAGTAATGAGCTCTACTTTGTTTTGTCTTTTCATGTTATTTTAAGTATTGCTTACAAATTGACATTCAAATTTATTGTAGGTTGGGGCGATAGGAAATCTTGTCCATTCATCTCCACATATTAAGCAAAAGGTTCTCCATGCTGGAGCTTTACAACCAGTTATTAATTTGCTGAGGTAATAATTGTTATAGATTTATCTTCAGTTATGTTATCTCCTAAACCTATGTGTGTTCATTTCAACTCCTTATATTTTATAGCTTACTTAGCTTATGGATTTTACAGCTCGACTTGTTCAGAGAGCCAAAGAGAAGCAGCCTTGTTAATAGGTCAATTTGCTACGGCTGATTCTGATTGCAAGGTAGATGGTTGAGCTACATTTCTGTTGTTATAAAATCAAATGTGTAGGATTAATTGGTTCAGTCAATCCGCTGTATGCACTGATAATTGTATATTCAGTTTGGAGCCTGTGATGTTTCTTTCTAATCTCGTCAATGTTATATCCTATAAAGGTGCACATTGTTCAGAGAGGAGCTATTTCACCTTTGATTGATATGCTCGAGGCTTCAGATGTGCAGCTTAAGGAAATGTCAGCATTTGCGTTAGGGAGGTTGGCACAGGTTATCCCATATGCCTTTACTCACTTGGTTTATCCAAGCGTTATGACTACTTATTTGTCATTTAATGTCTGCATGGAGAACCTATGACTTATAGCAGTCGTGTTGACGAATGATCTTGCGACTTATAGCAGTCGTGCTGTGTCAGTGGCATGCCTTATGCTTCAAGTTCTTTGAAAAACACGCCTTGTAGCTACATTTCTGTGTTCTGCGATGAGATGTTTATTTTTGTTTTTGGTATAGGAAACACACAACCAAGTTGGTATTGTATATCATGGTGGCATAGAACCACTCTTGAAGCTTCTTGAAGCTAAGAACGGGTCTCTGCAGCATAATGCTGCATTTACTATATTTGGCCTAGCCAATAATGAGGTATATTTGAAGTTGCTGCCTTGTGGTTGATGCTGAATATTTCTTCTGCGGAATCCATTTTGTCACTCTCTGACTACATTCTGTCACAAAATCCTTCCTTTTCAGGATAATATTGTTGACCTTATCAAGGTTGGAGCAGTTCAAAAACTCCAAGATGGGGATTTCATGTCGGAAGTATGCTTACTATGCACTTCATATCTGAAATCAATGATTATTTCATTTCATGTACTTCTACCCTAACTCGTTCCGTGTGGAAATGATTGCAGCCGACGAGGGAATGTGTTTCGAAAACATTGAAAAGAATAGAAGAGAATATTGATGGTCGAGTGAGTCCCTCACATGTTCTATACTTCCTAATCCTTTTCGTGATCTCAGTATTTATTTGCCTCTTCCTAAATGAGTAACTTTGAGCATCATTTGTAAATAGTACTCTCAATTAGTCTTGAACTTTTTTTTATCAGGTACTGAAGCGCCTTTTATATTCGATGCGAGTTGTAGAGAGAACTGTTCAGAGACAAATCGCTATGGCTCTTGCACATCTTTGTGCTCCTGCTGATCGAAAAGCCATTTTTCTTGATAACAATGGTAGCTATTTTTGCCTTCTTTTGTTTGTAAAGTTATGTTCTTACTCGAAATTCTTTAAGGTTTGGTTTTCTCATTCTCGTGCGACATTCATTACAGGGTTAGATTTTCTGTTGGGACTTCTCGACTCAGGAAACCTGAAGCATCAAAATCAGGGTGCAGCTGCTTTGTACAAGTTGGCTACCAAAGCTCCTACAATCCTTCCCGTGGATACGGCTCCTTCATCAGCCACCCCACAAGTATATTAGTTGTCTCGATTAGTTTATTTATATGGTATTTGTTTGCTGTCATTATAACTTCGTTGCAAATGTAGACCATAATTAATTTGTTTTCATGTTATTTTGCTATAGGTATATTTGGGCGAAAAATTTGTCAACAGTTCGACACTATCAGATATTACCTTCTTAGTTGAGGGTGAGGACACTTAGATGCTTCTCCTTTTCTTGTTATCACTATTTCCTTTACATTTATTCATTCTTGTATGTCCCTTGTTATGGCCTAGTTTCCTGAGACCATTTTGTGTGCATGATTTTGATTTGTCAGGCAAACGATTCTATGCTCACAAAATATGTCTACTTGCCTCATCGGATACTTTCCGTGCAATGTTTGATGGGGGTTACAAGGTGAGCCGCTACTGAAGCCTACAATCCTTTTTGTGATCCAATTCTCTTGCCACTGAACGTAACTTGGCTTCCTGGTGATGGAAATAACCTTTTTAATTCTGTCATTTGCAGGAGGGGCAAGCTAAAGATGTTGAGATCCCGAACATTACATGGGAAGTTTTCGATCTAATGATGAGGTGTGATGTTTGAAATCTTAGCCATCCATTAAATATCTGAGGCACGTCAATAAATTAAGCTCCTTTAGATTCTAAACTCTTTGAGTCTTGATTGCTTTTGCTTGCTTCCAGGTTCATATACACTGGGTCAGTTGAAGTCAATATAGATGTTGCTCATGAACTCCTGAGAGCTGCTGATCAGTATCTCCTGGACGGTCTGAAGCGCCTCTGCGAGTATGCAATTGCTCAGGTCAGTAAGCACTTCCCCTTTTGTTGGTAAAACCATGAAGAATGTTTCTCAACAAGCGGTGATGTAATGTATTCTATACCGTCGTTGTCATGCATCAAAACAGGACATCTCGGTAGACAACATCACTCTCATGTACGAGTTGTCGGAAAACTTTAACGCCATGACCTTGAGAGAAGCGTGCATACTGTACATATTTCAGCACTTTGAAGAACTAAGCACCAAGCCATGGTATGTGACACCATCTTTCATCAGCATTTTCATGAACAATCCGAAATGCAAAGGAATGTTTCTGTGACAAAGTGCTAACGATGAGTGTGTTGGAATGTGCAGGCGTTCTCATCTGATAAAGCGAATTCTGCCCGACATCCGGGATTACTTTGCCAGAGCACTTGCCGTTGATAAACCCTCTCCATGCTTTGATGCGAGGGAGATGGTAGATTAGGGTTTTGAGCTCTGCAACTATTAGTATAAGCAGTAGCAGTAGTGTCAGCCATGGTGCCTAGGGCCCATACCAGATAGTTAGATTCAGTTGTCCAATGTAAAGGCTGCCCTAGTGGCATGCTAAAGTGAGCTATGCCCACTATTGTGTTCATTTTGTAAATGAAGTTTTTTCAGCGATAGCATTTGATTGCTTTGATATTTGATGCATGGTAAAGGAAACTGTACCGGACATCATATCGGATTCCTTTCTGGTTGGGTATTTTGTGGTACGACCGTGGTTCAACGGTTTCATACCAGTAAATACCGTATTTGTAATAATAAAATATATTTTTTGTCAAAAAACCGTGTCGCCAAAATCAGGGTATCGTCTCGGAGTAATACCTGATATATCGGAATATACCGGATAATAAATGAATAAATACAAGTAGTTAGCAAAAAAATTATGAGTTAAACACCAATTAATTGCATCACAAAGAGATTATCATGAGTTAGATACCAATTAATCGCATCACCAAAAGCTCAAAGCTTGATAACGAAAATGTCACTCCATATGAAGCCAAGACCAAAACTGACAAAACCTATACTACCATCCATCATGACCGCAGCTCATGTACCCAACAAACAATTGGGCTTCTTTGTTTGACAGCCCAGCCCATCAATAGAAGCGACCCAGAAACTTTTAAAGCAAAACACGAAAATGACAACCCACTTTTCAGTTTTCACCAATGAAGAAAAATTACAGATTTCGATCGGTAAAGAATTAGGGATTTATCTTCCTTCCTTCTATTTACCTACCTCCATGTCGGCCGATAACAGCAGCCCAGCTTCCGGTCGGCAGCCAAGCTCACATTTTGTGCCTTGCAGCTCCGGAAAACGTTGCCGGATCCCTTCGACAGAACCAAACCCTCCTCCGAAGATCCATACGCTCGGGGAAGAATTGGTGTCGGAATCGGTGGTCGATTCGTCCGGATTCTTGAACCACATGTCGAGCTCGTCGGCGGCGCTCGATCTCCCTTCGGCGCACGACTTGCTCCGCCGCATGTGAATCTCCTGTTCCAGCGCTCGATCTCTCCTAATTGATCTCCCTTTGGCAATTTTCAGTATTCGAACGGTGACGTTTTCCTTCCAATGAGCCTACCGCCGGTTAGACCAAAACCGGGCGGTTTTTTCGTTTGTACCGATTAAGTCGGAAAAACCGGCCGGTATGATATTTTGAAGCAAACCAGCTTACCGTATCGTTATTGGTCCGATTTCCGGTTTTACCGGTTCAACCGGCCGGTACGATCCGATTTCCTTTACCATGATTTGATGACGGGCCAGTCTCTTAATTACACTACTGGATGTATTCCTTCATCTTGTGTCCCCCCGTTCCTTGCTTCTGTCTACTCGTGTTTGCGTTGTTTATTAGAACCGTATTCTCGACTGGAATTGTATGTTGCAAAGCTGATTTCTAAGCAAAATGAAGAAAACGTGACCATCAGTTGGGGTACATTTAACATAACGATTTTATTCGCATAGTATCTCATGGATCCAATAATTTACCAACATATTTACAAATAGCTTATAGCACGGCCCATTGGCTGAAAGATGGCGTGAATTTTGTAAGTTGCAATCAACATAATGAATGTGTTGCAAGGTGCCCATATGCACAACCAATGCATATCATTGATTGGCATTCAGCTAAGAAAAAAATAATGGAGTCCATATGCATAACCAATGCATATCATTGATTGGCATTCACCTAAGAAAAATATAGGTTTAATACACTTGTATATCCAAAACTTTCACAGTTGTGCCAATAATATCCAAATTTCCCGAAATATCACTTATATCCATGTTTTAAAGTTGTTCTTTGCCAAATCTATCCATTTCCAATATATTTTTGGTTAAATACACTTGTATATCCAAAAACACCGTTAAAGAATGTGAAGTAATTGGATATAAGTGGTATTTCAGGAAATTTGGATATTATTGGCACAACCGTGAAAGTTTTGGATATACAAGTGTATTTAACCAAAAAAAATATTGATAAAGACCTATGCGTTATTAGTTTGAAGAGCACTATTTGAAATTTTAACTTTTCTGATATTAAAGTACGACAATAAAAAATATATTTGGTTCAACAGGAACATAAACCATTATCTAGAAAATCATGGCTTGATACGAAATGTGAATAAGTTTAATGGAAGACCTAACAAAAGCTGTCTGCCCAAACTGTGACCACTTTGCCAATTGCCACCATTGAGTTCACTCCATCACAAAGATCAACATCATCCATGAAATTGAATTGGACTTGTAAGGCGAGGTTTAGATTTGGGTTGCATAGTTAAGCAAATGAAAATTGACAAAAATTGATATTCTTTTTGGTTTGACCTTGCCTTTGATTTTGATTCCACCAGCAAGATGGAGAAACTTTATATAACTTGACTCTTGAAGTGAAACCAGCTTGGAAGAGAATCTAGTGTTATTAGGAAGCTCTTTTGAGAGCGATTCCATAAATTCTTTCCTCTTGAGACATCTAATTTCATGGTATCCACAACAAAAAATCACAGCCACGCTTGTGAAATTTGGATCCATCTCTTGAAGTAAAGTGACCCAAACTCCGTTTCTTACTTCGATCCATCCTTGTTCTTGTACAACTTTGCAAAAACCAGTTCCCTTGTGACATTTGGCATATCCAAAGTTCTGCAATTCATTTCCAAGAGTTGCTGACTTTAGTCAGTAAACAACAACTTACAATCAATATATACCTGAATTGAGGCGAATCCCACGAACCATTTTCACTACAGTTAATATAGAAACTAATTTAAAAGGAATCAGTGGCGTAGCCAGGAATCTGAATGAGGGGGGGGGGGGGGGAGGGGAGAGGGCAAAAAATTCACGTTCAAAGGGTTTGAATCGGGGAGGGGGGGCTGAAGCTTTACCTCCTACTCTATTTTCCAAATTTGTTTCAAAATTTACACGTAAATGTACACAATTTTAAGAGTTGAGTGGGGGGGGGGGGGGGTGGGGAATTCACGTTCAAAGGGTTTGAATCGGGGAGGGGGGGGGGGGGTCTGAAGCCTTACCTCCTACTCTATTTTCCAAATTTGTTTCAAAATTTACACGTAAATGTACACAATTTTAAGAGTTGAGTGGGGGCTATAGCCCCTCCTAGCCACAACGTGGCTCCGCCACTGAAAGGAATCAATCATCCATTTGTATTTCACCTATTCAAAGGGCCCTAAACATAACTTTTAGGGTTAATACCTTATTTTGGCCTGAACTATGATTATATAATTAACTTTGGCCTGTGATTTCAGAAATTAACATCCTGGCCTCAACTATGTAACATATAGACTCAATTGGCTCGACACCTAGTTTGACACCGTCAATTTGGATGGTCAACACCATTGACCGTTAGTCAAGATGTCACGTCATTGCCTCGTCAGCCAAAAAATTATTAAAAAATTAAAATTCAAACTTTTTTAAATTTTTATGATTTATAATCAAATTAACAAAAAATAATTTATAAAAACATAAAATAAATTTATTATTTATTTTTTGTGTAATTTTAAAATGATAAAATTTTATAAATTAACCAAAAATTATGAAATTATTTTATATATTTAACATTACCCAAAAATAAATAATTTATATCATATTTTTTAAATTTATAAATTTAAATTTGATAATTTCTAATTAATTTATAAATTTTATCATTTTCAAATATCCCAAAAAATAACATATAAGTTTTATTATATATTTTTTAAATTTTATTTTTGGTTAATTTGAAAATGATAAATAATAGAAATTAGGAAAATAATTTGATTTTGATTTTTTTAATAATTTTTAGGCTGACGAGGCAATGACATGGCGTGTTGACCATCCAAATTGACGGTCAAATTATGTGTCGGGCCAATTGAGTCTATATGCTGCATAGTTGAGGCCAAGATGTTAATTTCTTAAACCACGGGCCAAAGTTGATTATATGGTCATAGTTCGGGCCAAAATAAGGTATTAACCCTAAAAGTTATGTTAGGGCCCTTTGAAGTTTACAAATACAAAAGGAAAAAAGAAGTTTTGCAGCTTTAAAAACGACATCACTAAGCACGGGAAAGAATGAAAACAACATGAATATGGTATTTAACCATAACCATAATTTATTTTGGAGAAACCCATAACCATAATCAACATCAGATTATTCTCCCAATTGAATGATGTCAGCTATAGAACCAGTAACCCAAGAGTATAAATATGTAGAAAAAAGAAATAGTTCTAAGGACCCAATTGAATGCTAGCAGCTACAAAATTAGTAATGAATAATGATCATCACATTGTTTTAAAACTTGGACCAATGAAATTAACTAACTGTAAATAACTTGGACCTTGATGAAAATCGTCAATTTCTGGACATGGCAGCTGCGACTAAATTCTCCTCTAAAGCAAAGTACCATTATTTGGTCAGCTCGCTTGTAAAGTTGTCTAGCCTTAGGGTCTGCAAGATGAGCAGAGTACTCTACATTCTGGATTTTTTTTTCCTAGGAATAACACCATTTAGTATTTTTTTTTACAAAAATGGCATCCAACCCACACAAATTCCAAAAATAGCACCATTTATTGAAACCCGCGTGTCAAAGGTGCGGTTTGTGTAGAAAACGCAAACGAAAGAAGCGGTTTACAGAGAAACCGCGTAGGGAAGACACGGTCTCCGCTAGGGCAACCTGGGAACTGCCTAGGGAAGTGACAGTTTCCTTAACCGTTGGATAAGGGAGCGATCCAACGGCAGACCGCGCGCCAACGCATCGATCCGCGTTAGGGATTGAAGACAGCTGGACGAAAGGGTGGGTTTCACCTCGGTTAACGCAAACCGTTCTCTAGGGAAGCGGTTTTTGTGGGCGAAAATTACAAAACTGCCCCTGTAGGGGGCGGTCTGAGTTCTATATAGTGGTCTGTTGGTTGCGGCTAAGTCTAGTCTGCTATAAGAAAACATTTCTTTGATTTTTCCTCAAAACTCGTCGAAAGTCTGTCCAACTTATTGAAAAAATGGATGATTGGTGCCAAAACGAGAGTATTTTCCATGATGACTATCAAACGGTACGTACTCATTTTACCAAATTTTTGTTGTTGTTATAATTTTTTTAATTAATCTATATACAGATATACTAACTAATTAACCTTGTTGTTATTCTCTCGTAGGTTGGAGACGACGTGGATATATACAACCAACGATATTATGTTGATCAAGGACCGATTGATCCAAGCGTGTTGTACGACCAACCTTACCATCGTTCAAGGGATGTTTGGACCAATCACCGGGTACATACAATTCTTTCTCATTTCTCATTTTTTATTTTGTTAACGTACTTAGTGGTTTATAAAGTAAATTTGATAATTTTAGATCGAGGTGGTGAAGGAAAGATATGCTCGTGTCTATCTCATAGGCATGACCGGAGGAGTGTTCTTCCCCAAGAAATCCAACAATTTAATTAGCTGTGGGTGGCTGAGGATCCTCCTTGGTGATTGGGATGAGATGGGGAATTTGAGCTGGGCATCCGCTTGCCTAGCTCATATCTACCACAATTTGTGTAATGCATCTCTCAAAGCTGTGAAGGAGGTTGGTAGGGCGATGTTCATCGTCAAATTTTGGGCTTGTGAGCATTTGCCATGGATTGCACCGGTCCAACGTCCCGACAAGGATTGGCCAATCAATCATCCCCTAAGAGGCCAAGCTTATGGTTGTAGGTAAACTTCTCGTACCCATTCATGATTTCCATAACACAATAGATAATTATTCAGTTATAACATTTCATTATTTTCCTTAATAATAAGGTGGGTTGGGCAAACAACATGCGACAACCTTGTAGATCACAATTTGGCAAAGTATCAGAGGAGGTTAGAGAGACTTTGGCAAGGAGAGGTAACTATAATAATCCGAACTTCATTTGTTATTTTCGACATGTATTATACAACTTCGTTTAACTTAAGTTGGTCATTTCTTTTGTACATCATATACGACCCCTACCCTAAGAACATCGTTCACTGGCATTTGGAGCAATTTCCTGGGCATTCCGGTCAATAGTGCACGAGAGTCCCTCTCATTTATCACTATATTATTGAGTGTCACCTGCCGGATCGATGCTTACGTCAATTTGGTTGGGAACAATGCATGCCTCTGGACCTCCCCGACGGTCAAAATACTTTTCACCACCGAGATGGTCGCCAAGGTCAAGCTAATTGGCCTGAGAAATTGGAGAAACCTTGGGTATCCATTGATGTTCTCAACCCGCCACCACCATACTGAAAAAGGCAAGACAAGAGCGCTCGGAAAAGACCATACGTGCCCGAAGTAATGTCGATTGAGGCGTGGAAAGTGCCTCCACCTTTGGATGCGACACACGATGGCATTCCGAGTATGTACCACGATGGAGGTCCGACTACGTACCCGATCTCATACTACAATGGCCGACCGAGCTATCAACAATATTTCCGTCCG